TAGGCTTGAGCCATCTACACGAGTCATCAGCTTCCAAGATTCAACTTCCTGTCAGTATAAGTTTTTTTTGATGTACCAATTCTGAAACTAATTTTTGAATCTTATTTGGTAATGAGAACCCAATTTCAATTATTGTTGACCACCAAGTGGAGCTTTGGTTTTAGAATCTAAAAGTTGCAACCAAGAGAGTTAAATGGGAGAAATAAAGGAATTCCAGTTATCTAGGTTTTCAATCTAGAAGGAAGTCTTAATCATTGGGTGCTGTTGAAAACCAATTGAGATCAAATTTTCACCAGCAAATCAATTGCAGGACCCCTCAGTCCTGCAATTCCCATCAAATCTGAAGTCCTTGCAGACAACAACATGGCTCCAAAAAGTCCAAATTTTTGCAGAGAAATCTAGCTTTGGCAGCTACAAATCAATTCTGCCACTGCAGTGGGGGGTTCCAGACCTTGATGGGAAGCCCCAGGTTGAGGGTCCTCTGATATATTTGGACCTTTCTCACCAATTCAGTTAGTTGTTTAGTTCATCTTGCAGTATGCCCTGAATTGTTGTGTTGCACACCTAGCACATTTTTCTTCATGAAGACTATGCAGCACATCCCTTACCCCATGTAATTCATTCCCCATAGCACTCTTCATGATTGTGCATCCTATAAGCATCACTGGATATCCCAGATGTCTATATGAATATTTAGGAAGAATGTTGGGGACTTCCATCAAAACATGTGGGCCTCCCTGAACCCCCTGAATAAAGATAGAGCCTCACAAGGTAGATTTTCCTGTGAAAATATAGATTTTGACACCCCACATCAACTCTGGGGGCCCCACATATCTTTCCAGATGTGTTCCATTGTCCTACTTGTCATTGGACGACTTCCCGTCAACATCTGCTGGTCTCCCAGAGCTGGTTTAGAGCCACAAAATTCAAATTTCCCTGCGAGAATTAAGAATTTTCGGGTCTAGATCAACCTCTGCGAGGGTCCCAGATCCGACAGGAAGTCCTCCATTCTATTTTAAAATTTCAATGTGCAAGCTGAGGAAAGGTGCTATGTTGCATACAATGTCAAAGAAATAGCAGTGCTTATCTTATATCCTGTTGCTTCCTTGGGTGCTAGGAATCTACATATAACTAAGAGAATAGGCTCAGAGAGGCAGACAAAGTGTCATGCAATCTAAGCTGACATTGACCTCCAATTCACATTTTTTGACACCAACATTAGACCAAGATGGGTGTCCAGTTCACGCAATATCTCCAAAAGGGGCAAAAGGTCATTGGGTACCCCCCCCCCCCCCCAACATTCAATGCAAAAACAAGGTCAGCAAGTCAAACTCCCCAATTTTGGGGGCAAACACTAGTTTTAAAATATGGTGTTCCAAGTTGCTTGACATGCACAATTTTTTGGTTTGTTGAAATGTTTTGTAATTTTGGCGGGGACTTGTCAAATTGAGCCATCTGGACAGGACCCTCCCAAAATTACAGATTATGTGTGTGGGGTACAAATTACATAAGCAATTGTGAACACCATAAATCCATAAATTTCTATTTATGTAGCTGCCACTGATCCAGCCGGCCCCACTACACACGCCAAGCAGCAACAATCGTCAGGAACCATGTCGTACTTTCTCCCACATTTACCCTCCGGATGGCACGTCGACCAAGCTATCCTGGCTGAAGAAAATCGGGTGGTGATCATCAGGTTCGGTCATGACTGGGTAAGCTCTTACTAGGACCTCACCGAACGTTGCAATCAAACTGACCACACCTTACATACCTTAAAAAAATCACACGCAATAACCGCTCGCATTACGAAAAAACGTCTGTTTCATTACGCTGTCGATCAGGATTCAGAATGTATGAGGATGGATGAAACGCTCTATGGAATCTCAGAAAAAGTGAAGAATTTCGCAGTGATCTATCTAGTAGATATCACCAAAGTACCCGATTTCACGAAGGTCAAGCTGAATATTTGAAATCATACTTGATTCTTCGTTAGCCGAACTGATGATGATCCTCACGTTGTTCTTGAACGAAATCTTCAGATGTACGAATTATACGACCCTTGCACAGTTATGGTGAGTAAGATCAGGCTGATCTTCTTTTCATCGCAATCGATCTTTGTGGTCAAGTAGGGTGGACTAAAAAGAATTCGCACGACATTGTGAAGTTCTTTTACAGAAATAAACATATCATGATTGATTTGGGAACGGGGAACAACAATAAGGTCAGCAACTGAAAATTTTGAACAGGGAGTTGACTTAGTCTCAGACGTAGATCGTTTTCCGCATTAGATCAATTGGGCGATGGACGACAAACAAGAAGTGAGCTCTGAAACCCAATCACAGTATCATACTCTCGGTTATAATCGCCTTTCAATTCGACAAAACGGCTCTAATGTTTCCTTCTTCTTGATTTGGTTTGTTGACGACTCTGCACTAGTTGATTGATATTGTGGAGACGATCTATCGAGGGGCGAGTAAGGGACGAGGTCTGGTAGTTAGTCCCAAGGGTAAGTTGTCCCATTCAACTACCTAAATCATCCTCTCCAGTTGTTATTTTTGTAAGCTGACTTGATCAAAATGTGCCTCATATTTTCAGATTATTCAACTCGGTACAAGTATTGTCAGTGGTTTTCATATTACCAACTCAACATCCCGCCGCTAATTATTGAATACTCCCAATTACTGACAATTCTTTCGGATTTTCAACTCTTCTTTTGCAACAACGACAACAGAGAAACAAGAAAGCTTCTCTTGTTGTGTTTTTCTTGATTTTATCCATCCTCGTATTACCATCCTGCTTTTGTTTGTCAATGAATGTGCTTTTAAGTATTGATTTTTCCATCGGAAGAAAATTGTAACAAAAATGTCAAGTGCTTTCAGGAGCTAGACCAGTGGAAGATGCATCTGTTTCTCTGGGATCATATCTCTCAAGTAAAGCCGCAGTGGGAGATGTTCAGGTTTATACCCTGTCATCTTACAGCTGCGAATTAGAGATCGGGGTGGTTTTGCTTGCCCTGACACCAATTGGAAGATTTGTAAGATAGTTGTCAGAGGAAGCCTCATCCAGTGACTTACAAGCATGCAAAAGGAATCTTAATCCATTACATCAATACAAACTAGCAAACAAGCTTAAAAACAGGTTGCTGCTCTGTCATCGCTAGTCCATACCACTGATCAGTCGTCAACTCAACTTGTTGATTTCATGTTCTTGAATTGAACTATCGGGCGATTGCTATAACGTTTTGAATTTGATTTGCGGCGCCAGATTTACGAGGGGGATACCTTACCTTACATCAATTCCAGACATAGTATACTGCACGGCTTTAATTACAAAGAGAAAAACTGTTGTAGTCACTCTACATCAAATGAAAAATAGAATCCTTGTCTTTACAGAAATATTATTGATAAATGAACGATTCATGGCGCGGGATTAGCATCTTGAACGACTGGATCGCCTTTTGAGTCTTCTTTCAGTGCGTTTTCTTTGATCCAAGTTTCATCATCCCAAATAGCTCTGTTATTTGGATGTGAGAACCCCTTAGTATCTGCTTTTTGATTGTTGTTGTGAAAGCTGTTTCTGGCCAAGTTGACTTTCAAGATCTTTTCTGAATCGGAGGAGAGTAGGTTTAGATGCATGTTGTCGATGGCGTCTAATGCTTCAATTTGATCTTGAAACGTGATAAACGCGAAGTTTCGGTTGTTGCCTGGTATAAAAATGTCCAAAGTTTGGTTAATATTCCGGGTTTGGGTTAAGCGAAGGAGAATAGAATGATCTTTTGATCGATGATACAATATAATTTCAACTGACGCGATTGGGGATCAGTTGGGATTTGAATATCACGGATATTGCCGAAGGGAGAAAAGCTAGAATGAAGTGCTTCGGCGTTGATATTTGGTGGGATGTTACCTGTTGAGGACGTTAGACCAGCATCGCCAAATATCATGAGTAGGGTCATGATGCAGCACATTCAAGATATTAAGAAGTTGAGCAGGCAGACAGCACGTTGTAAGACTCACCGACGAAGATCGTCTTATTGTCTGATGCTTCCTTTGGCATGTTGTTGTCTCGTTGGTGTTGGTGTTCACTCGATGATCCCTGTTGGTCCCGGTGTCAAGGTGGTTGGTCGATGGCCGTACCGTTGCGGCGTTGGCTGGCGTTGCCTATTAAGTTTTGAGGTGTGTTCGGGTAGTGTGGCTACAGCCGCATCTGCTCGGGGCCCCGCAAAGTTCGAAGGCGGGACTCAATCTTCCTTCAAATCAATAGCACTTTAAAAAAAACACCCCTGTCGATTGACAACTGGCTATTCAATAGCCCTCGTACACTGAGAGCATCCGTATCGGTGGCTAAATCCGCGCGAGCTAAGAGCATCTCCAACGGTCCTGCTGATGCGGGACCTGGGACCGACTTCAGCGGGCCGCGAGGCTCTTTTGGTCGCTAGTGGAGCTGCCGAGCGAGCTGCTGAACATCGCGGGGGTGGACCAAAGCTGCCCTCGGCTGCTGAGTTTGGCAGCTTTGGCCGCGTTTCACCCACCCCCGCTCAAATTCACAGTCCGCATTTAGGACAACTGTGACAAGCCGGTGACACCTCGGGACATCTGACTCCAGGCCGCCAAAGGCGAGCCGATCCACCCCCAGACCGTTAGAGATGCTCTAAGGACTTTAGCCGCGAAATTCAACCACACCGGGCTGAGCTAGAGTCAAGTCAAACTAGCTCGCAAGCAAGCTAAAAGCAAAAACCGGTGAGAGTGCTTCATTTTGGTGCCCTCCCGCACACAATCACACACCCCTACTTCAAACCACACCACACCGTTTAACCTCATGCCACACCGGTGTGGCTGAATAGGCTTCGCTATAGTAGCTTAGCAATAGCCGCGAGTTAAAACCGCTGGCTTTTAGCTCAACCGGTAAAGATGCTCTGAGTACGAAGGCTATACAAGGTCATCTGAGATGACCCTCGCCGTCCCTCGCCCCGCCGGCTGAGGTTTACATAATCAGCTCGTCCGAACTCGCAAGCAAAGCTCCTTCGGCTTCCATCGCTGCGCAACCGCAGGGCATCACAGCATTGCACAGCTGCTGTCATCGGCATCATCAGTCCCAAATCCCACCCGTGCACCCTTGTACCTCAAAAGATGTTCGACAACCGATCCAGCTCTAGGTTCTCATTCCGATTGGACACTCGGATACCGGAGAAGGAGGCGTTGAACATGAAGTTCTTTTAGATGGCGGTGATGGTGAAGATGACAAAGAGCTTTGGGTGCAGGCTGTTTTCTAATGATCAGGTAAGCGTAAACTTGTGTCAATCGTTGGCTAGTTTTTTGATTCTTCCCACTTGCTGATGACCTCACTTCTGACTCTGATTGGATCTGCTTTGTATAGGGAACCTCACCCGTTTCGCCAATTGTGTCACTGTCCTAGAGCTCGCTCCCTTGTCAATTCAGTAAAGAAAATTATACAAGGCTACATCCTTGGATTGAATACTTGTTCATTGTTACCCTTGAGAGCTGCCACTGAGCTGATTTTTCTTACTTGTCAAGCTTCTTCCTCAATCCAAATCTAAGTACAAGCCTGAGGTTTTTGGGTGTATCAGGTCTATCTCCTTATAATTGTGTGGCTGATTTGGAATCCTCTTGGATGTACCACCTTTAGGAATTATTCACAACCCTGTGTATGGATCAATTAGCAAGCCAGTGATTCAAATGTTCCCATTGAGCATGGAATTGCACTTATTCCACTTTTTTCCAATGACTTGAGTGTCAAATTAATAGTAAGATAAATACTGATAACTGATAGAGATTGAGTTCAGAGTTCCTATGTAATCATGTTACAAAGCCAAATTTTCAAAGGCAAGACATTGAATTCTGGCAAACATCTAGTTATCTGTTCAAAAAAAAACAGCTTATGCTGCACTGTCCAAATGGGGCCTTGGTTTTGATACAGGCAAGATGATTATTTAATGTGGGGTAACCCAGGTCTTTTTACATGATTTACAATACTTACACAAACCCAGAGTTTTTGTTCTATATATTTTATAATAATCCAACTGCTTGATGTATAACAAATCTTTCACTTAGTAAGTAATAGACATGATTGGTCAATTTGAAGCAATTTGAAACACATTACATAACTAGATGATTTCAAAAATGAACAATGTGTTCTTCATTAGCATCAAATTTCTTTTTAACAATGTTCTTCAAATTCCTTTGTAGGAATGTTCACTTTCAATCTTGATCAAGATTGAATGTTGCTGGTCAAGATTAAGTGTTGATTGAATGTGACCAAATTTAAAATTTCTTTTTATCAGTATTCTACTTGCAATCTTGATCACAATCTAATTTTTTGAACTTTCAATTTTTTTTTATAAATATCCAACTTCACCCATGGACTAAGACATCAAATTATAACAACTCAAAGCAAGTTGACTTGCAAAAGAAATCAAATCTCATGATGTCCAAACTGATCACCCAAAGAAATCAGAAACTTGTTCTCTCTTTGTTGGTCTTTTGGTTAGCATTCAACTTGCATCTTCATTAGTGTGAATTTCTTTCACCTGTTTCCAACTTGAATCTTCACTAACATTAAATCTCCTTTAGCAGTTTTCAACTTTCAATGATGATTAAGATAAAATGTTTGCACTTTTGTCCCCTTGTGCTCATTCAGTGAACTTATCACATTATTGAAATGCTTTTCATATGCTTGTATCTGGTCAACCTTCCTTAGCCTGACATAAAAAGTTGTACCTACCAAATTCTATTATTCCCCATAATTTCAGAAGGGACAAAAAATAAACCTCATTTTATTTAAAAACTCCTCTTGGACTTGAAATATATCAATATTTTATTGTTTAAATTCAAATCCTCCTCTCAAATCAACATATTGCTGTCTGGAATCAGTATTATTCTTAACTTCTCAAAAATATATCAATGGCTGGGTGAGGACACCTTGGACTAGAGGAAATACCTTCTATGGGTTGGAACCACTGGTCCATACCAGTAAACTTCCACTGAGCTGATTCTAGCCTCTGCAGAGTAGCTCACATCTGAAAGAAGTGGATATCCACATCATCAACCTGAATCTCCTTTTGAATCTCATTTAATCATTTCTTTTATTTCCATCACAAAGAACAACCATAAGCTTCCAAGAGAAGAAGACATTAACAGCAAAGTTCAGAGATACTTTTGAGTTTTAACCTGAGTCTGTTGAATTCACTGATCAACTCACTTTCCTCAATTTAATTCGTCAGCCCAGTAATTCCATCAGGTATCAACACCAGGAAGAGAATCACATCTCAGGGGGAGAAAGTAGATGTACATACATATTGGGCTCTTAGAATGGCCCTTGGTCTTTTTTCTATTTCTGGCTCTTGCTAATATTTCTCTAGCTCAAGTTACACCATTATTCATTGTTTACTATGTGCAATAGATTCTGTCTGGTCCAGTCTTTCACTTCAGCAGGTAAAATCTCATCATTATTTCTATTCCTTTTACTGTCTTTTGTTGAGTTTTTTTGCTTTGTAATTATTGTTACTACTACTGATGTTTAAAGATTTATTGCAATGATCTTGATCTCATTCGACCTTACTAAGTTGAAAATTAGATGATACTTCAACTATCTGGGTAAGTGGTTACCTATCTGGGGTGTTTGTCAAGGATCAGTTTTTTTCTTCATTGTCATGGAGTGTACCAGACAATCACACTCTCTCCATGAGATTGACCTTTCTGAACAGCCATTGTTGCAAGTACACTCTCCAGAATGGCCATTCAGAACAGCGGTTGAAGAATATTGTACCCTTGGCCCCAGCGCTGCCATTCGGAACAGCCATTGAGGAGCGGAGGAGCGTAGCGTTGGCCTCACTGATGTTGTTCAGAGCGGTCGTTGAGGAGTGTCCCCTCGGCCTCAGCGATGCGGATCAGAACGGTCATCGAAGAGACTGCTCTCTCAACGATGGCCGTTTAGAACGGCCATCAAGCACAAGAGGGCTTGGGGCAGGTATGTACCCTGTATGCCGGAGCGGTACCCGGTTACCGGCAAATCTCTGCAATGCTGGGATGCCCAGCGGTTGCGCAGCGATGGAAGCCGAAGGAGCTTTGCTTGCGAGTTCGGACGAGCTGATTATGTAAACCTCAGCCGGCGGGGCGAGGGACGGCGAGGGTCATCTCAGATGACCTTGTATAGCCTTCGTACTCAGTGTACGAGGGCTATTGAATAGCCAGATGTCAGTCGACAGGGGTGAAAAAAAAAAAAAAAAAAAAAAAAAAAACAGGTTGGGCATGGCACATTGGAGGGGGACAACAAGAAACTACAACAAACAGTGTTACCAACAACCTTTACAGCTTGTCAGTGTGTGGAGAGGTGGTGGCTGAATGATTCCAAAACAAGGAAAAAAATTGACCAAATCATGGACTTCGGTTAAAAACTGAGTCCTCCTTGAATATTATATGATACTTTGATCATAAAATTCCAGTTGACTGTGGATCTGCAAGGTAAAAATTCATGTCATCTCTCTAAAAAACCAAGTCAAATCAAATCAAAAGGAAACCTAACCTTAAATTTCAAATCTCAACCTCTCACCTGCAAAAATTCTCTCTACTTGATCCTAATTTTCCACCCTCTTACAACTCTTTTCCACTTACTCTCCCTTGCCCACTTACTCTCCCTAACCCATAACACTTATCAAAAAACTTAACCCTCAATAATCATCTAAAACCTGCCAATCTCATCAACACTATCAACAGTCAAAAAAAAATCATTGTTCAAACTCTCTCAACTTGTCCACAATTGAATCCATATTTTTTTGTTTTCTCTTCTCACTTCTCTCTTTATGTTTGATATGAGCAGGGTTCATGATTGAAATTTTCAATTTTTTAAACCCAAACCTCAGGCCTTTATCAACAACATTTTAGATGGATATGGGTTTTTCTGAAAAATCTGCACAAATTTTTGAATTTCAACAAAAAAACACCATAGAATGGGCTC